AATAGGCATTATAGGCCAGAGGAAATTTTGCGCCCTTTCACACCTGCGTCCGGGGGTGACTGCCCCCCTTGCTACGCCACTGGCCATTTCAGTCGTAGGGCGTTATAATGTGACAGTCAATCCCACTATTAGTTGGTAAAAGAGTAGCCCAAGAGTTAGCGGTGGGTGGTGATGACTAGCTGCCATTCATCTAGTCTTTCACTACTAAAATAGGGAGGCTAGCGCAGGTAACCCTTGTGTAGTCTTGCGCGAACTTCCAAACCCATTATTTGTCGGTAAAGATAACTAAAGACCTATCGCTTTAAAATTAGAGGCAGCTAGCCCTCGAGTAATTTTACACGAATCTACAACAAACACAAGGATAGTTTTCTGATTAGATAGAAAAATTACTAAAACAGCAAGAAATAAGATTGCAAACAATAATAATTTGGGTTGGGTTCTTTATTCCCGCTCTTCCTAAGAATCTTGCACCATATTCATCTTATAACAAGGTAACTTTAAGTTGTTGGGGGGGGGGGAGATGTGCTTCGATTACCCCTGTGGTAGAGCTCCGAATATAGGAGTTGACGAACGTGGCTCTAATCCGTACGATACCATAAAATATTCCTCGCGCTTTAAGCTAAATGAGTAACAATCCCTTAGCGTAAACGGTGGATGTTAGGATACTGCCTGACTGGCTGCATTCCCTCTGGTCATTAGTTCAAAAGTACGGACAGCAGATAGTCTTAGTAGCATAAATACAAAATACAAATACTTTGTGTAGAACAAAAAAAAAGATTACTTTCTAAGATCAAATATTTTCCGACGAAAGAATCAGTAACAGATCTGAGAGCTGAAAGAAATAAACAGAAACTACTTTAGGTTTTTTCATGAAGTCAAATCATTACTGCGTCAGTAGCTTCAAGATATACACGAGTGTTTACACTATAGAAATTTCAATAAGTGTTCCTGAAGAAAACTAACGGACAACGAAACTGCTGTCACGACTTTAAACAATAATTATATTTTACTGGTTTTGGTAGGGTGCATCTGGAACCACTTGAATTACTAACGTAGCTTATTGTATATTAATGGCTGCTTTTAAACCCCTACAACTATAAGAAGTCGGTTGGTTGGTTTTAATGACCGATTTTAAGCCACTACAACTATAAGAAGTCGGTTGGTTGGTTTTAATGACCGATTTTAAGCCACTACAACTATAAGAAGTCGGTTGATTGGTTTTAATGACCGATTTTAAGCCACTACAACTACAAGAAGTCAGTTGGTTGGTTTTAAGGACCGGTTTTAAGCCACTACAACTATAAGAAGTCAGTTGGTTGGTTTTAATGACCGATTTTAAGCCACTACAACTATAAGAAGTCGGTTGATTGGTTTACATATTTACGAAAAGCTGCACCAGTTGCGCTAGCCGTCCCTAATTTTGAACTGATAGACTAAAAGGGAGACAGTTACTCAAGAGCATCCATTGCCACCTCCGGGTTATTCTAATTGAATAGGAGGATTTGACTGTCTCTCTTATAACACGTTCACGGCCCCAAAATGCGTAGTGACGGCGGAATATTATATATGGATCCTCGGAATCACAGTCCGGCACATTAACGTTCGGTCACGCCCGGTCAGTGAAAAAAGATAGCCTTTTTATGACAGCAGAAATTGGCTATATCATAACCTAATTTATATCCGTTTCTTAACTTAATGTTTTTCAATGACATTTTAGAAAGGATAGACTAAATGGTGATGTCAACTTCTGGATCATTTATAAATATTATGCTCTCAAAGTGAATTGTGCTAGATGTCGCTGTGTTACATTCCACTGGATAAAAGTGTTGGGTTAATGACACAAAAGAGAAAGCTTGGAAATATTCCTAATTACCATTTCCAATGTCTTTCACTTGACGAACTGGAGCTTGGAAATATTTCTAATTATCATTTCCAATGTCTTTCACTTGACGAACTGGAGCTTGGAAATATTTCTAATTATCATTTCCAATATCTTTCACTTGACGAACTGGAGCTTGGAAATATTCCTAATTATCATTTCCAATGTCTTTCACTTGACGAACTAGAGCTTGGAAATATTCCTAATTATCATTTCCAATGTCTTTCATTTGACGAACTGGAGCTTGGAAATATTTCTAATTAATATTTCCAATTACTTTC